TAACGACAAACTGAGATGACAGAAAAGCCGGTAGCAGCTGAAGTGTGTGTTTTCTTCTGGTCGACGTAAATACGTTCGTGTCTCTGTCCAATCAGAACCTTCCTCACCCCCAGACTCTGGGCAGAATTAAATAAAGGCGAAGTGAAATGTAAACTTCAATTCAGAATTATTATTTCCTTGTAAACTTGAAGGAGAATATTTAGTTTAGTTTGAATAGGGCCTGGGAGAGATCACAAGTTGACTCAAACATGCATGGACGACTCTAAAACCTCTTCAGGCAAGTTTCTGATGAGTTATAACGTCATAACGTGGGAGAAGCTAAAAAAAAAAAAAGGATCTTGCATAATTCCGCCTCTTTAAAAACCCAGAGGAGTTTTTAAACAGAGTAATAATGCAGGATGACGCAAACATAAATGCATGAAACAAAACACAGCTACGTTTTTGATGAGGTACTAACATTATAACTTATTTTAAATCTTAGAACAGGGGTGTCCAAACTTTTTTAATCAAGATCCACATATCTGCACACAGACGAAGCAGAGGACTGGTGCTGAATACAGTGAATTATTAAAATATTTGCATGTTTAACACGTTAGAATGAGCCATCAGTCTTTATTCATTCAAGATCCTTAAAACCACACACTAAATATTAAATATTTGCTTTATCAAGGTAGATTGTCAAACTAAAACTTGCTGTAAAATGTTCATTTTTAATTGATACAAGGCAATTTAATCCGTGTATCATTCGTTCATTCATTTTTCAATAAAAAAACTAAAATAACAAAATGAAAAAACAACAATTTTCTTCATTATTTGTCTCCAAAACCAAAATGAAAAAACGGATAAAGATTCATTTTTTCAGTTTTTGATTCTGAGTTTAAATGAAGAATGGAAAAAATGGATAACGGAGGTTTCCCGTTTACGTGACTTCAGTGACTGCGATGCCGGACTTTTGCGCTGCATACGGACTGAATCAGGACTGATCCAGGTCTGGGACCAGACCGAGACCAGAGCGAGACTGAGACCGAGACCAGACTGAGACCCGACCTGGTCTCGGTCTGGTCCCGATTTAGTCTCGGCCTGGTCCCGGTCTGGTCTCAGTTCTGATCTCAGTCTCGATCTGGTCCCGGCCTGGTCCTGGTCTGGTCTCGGTACATGGATTTAATTTGGGCCAACTCACCTGGAAGCCTGAGGGCCGAGAAAAATCTGTCTGAGAGCCGCATTTGGCCCACGGGCCATAGTTTGAACATGCTTGTCTTAGAAAATCATAATTGAAGCTCTTTAATCATTTGTTCTCTTTTCCATTTTTCCCTTCCCCATCCAAAGACGTCGAGCGGAATTAAATAAAGTCGGTTTAACGTGTTTTCCATGTGAACCTCAGTTCGGAATTAATATTTCCATGTAAACTCGAAATAGAATATTTTAATTCCAAACTATTTAAATCAGAACAATTAAAAAAACATCATGTCAACGTGGCCATTTTCAATTCATTCTGTATATTGTTGATTACTTTTCTAATATAGTTTGAAAATAGTTAATAGTTATAAAATAGAATAGTTAGAGAAGCACTGACACTGATTTTGGGTCCATTGTGACAAACAACCAAAAAGAAAAATCACAGCCAAAGTTGTTGTTTTTTGTGTTATTTTAAAAAGTTCCATACTGTGGCTTTAAGATAAGGTTATTCTAAAGTCCTCACTCACTTCCTCTCATTTGCGCAGAAGTAGGTCAGCCCAGTACGTTATCCCGCGCTGCTCTGTACAGTCTTGATCACCATTGTGCCGTTTTAATTTATGCGCCGCTCCCCTGACCTCCCGACGGCCGTGACGGCGAACGCGCGGAGGCAAAGCGCCGCGAGCGCGATTCACGCTCACAATAGACATAAGTCATGCTTTTATTGACGACCTTCGACCTCGCTTTGTTACGGCCAGCTCGTCATGTGGACTACGGCTAATTAGCGCTGCCTTTAAAAAACACGGCGTACATCGAGCGCCGAACAATTCACGTCAGTTACAATACGGCGCCTGATTGTCTTAAGACGACCTCTGACCTTTGTGGCTGTTCAGTACATTACCTGGAGCTCATTATTTTTGTTTGTCAAGGGTAAAAGTATCTGTCGTTAAGCTTGTGTCCTTATTGAATTTGGATAATTATTGTTATAATTCTGTAACTGTCCAAGCGCGGTTGTAAATAATTATCATGGATTTGTCTTTATCGTCGCCTGGACTGAGCTGTTACTGTTATGTGGGTCATTGAAACTGTAGGATAATTTAAATACTACAACTACTACTGCTTCTACTACTATTACTTAGTGTTGAAGAACTCGAGACCGGTCTTGGTCTTGAGTCGGGCCTCAAGACTTTTTTTTTGCTGTCTTGGTCTCATCTCGGAATAGAGCACATTTGGTTTTGTCTCTTGTTTGGAAGGCGCTTGGACTCGGTCTTGTCTCGGTCTTAAAGGCACTTGGGCTTGGTCTTGAAAGTGCTTGGACTCGGTCTTGTCTCGGTCTTGAAGGTAACTGGACTCGGTCTTGTCTTGGTCTTGAAGACACTTGGACTCGGTCTTGTCTCGGTCTTCATAGCATTTGAACTCGGTCTTGTCTTGGCCCTAAAGGCGCTTGGGCTCGGTCTTGTCTCGGTCTTGAAAGTGCATGGATTCGGTCTTAACTTGGTCTTGGCAGGCGCTTGGACTCGGTCTTGTCTCGGTCTTAAAGGCACTTGGGCTTGGTCTTGAAAGTGCTTGGACTCGGTCTTGTCTTGGTCTTGAAGGTGCATGGACTCTGTCTTCAAGGCGCTTGGACTCGGTCTTGTCTCGGTCTTGAAGGCACTTGGACTCGGTCTTGTCTTGGTCTTGAAGACACTTGGACTCGGTCTTGTCTCGGTCTTGAAGGTAACTGGACTCGGTCTTGTCTTGGTCTTGAACACGCTTGGACTCGGTCTTGAAGACACTTGGACTCGGTCTTGTCTCGGTCTTCATAGCATTTGAACTCGGTCTTGTCTTGGCCCTAAAGGCGCTTGGACTCGGTCTTGTCTCGGTCTTCATAGCATTTGAACTCGGTCTTGTCTTGGCCCTAAAGGCGCTTGGACTCGGTCTTGTCTCGGTCTTCATAGCATTTGAACTCGGTCTTGTCTTGGCCCTAAAGGCGCTTGGGCTCGGTCTTGTCTCGGTCTTGCAGGCACTTGGACTCGGTCTTGTCTCGGTCTTAAAGGCACTTGGGCTTGGTCTTGAAAGTGCTTGGACTCGGTCTTGTCTTGGTCTTGAAGGTGCATGGACTCTGTCTTCAAGGCGCTTGGACTCGGTCTTGTCTCGGTCTTGAAGGCACTTGGACTCGGTCTTGTCTTGGTCTTGAAGACACTTGGACTCGGCCTTGTCTCGGTCTTCATAGCATTTGAACTCGGTCTTGTGTCGGCCCTAAAGGCGCTTGGGCTCGGTCTTGAAAGTGCATGGATTTGGTCTTGACTTGGTCTTGAAGGCGCTTGGACTTGGTCTTGTCTGGGTTTTGAAAGCTCTTGGACTCGGTCTTGTCTCGGTCTTGTCTCGGTCTTGTCTCGGCCTTGAAGGCATTTGGACTCGGTCTTGTCTCGGTCTTGTCTCGGCCTTGAAGGCGCTTGGACTTGGTCTTGTCTCGGCCTTGAAAGAGCATGGACTCAGCCTTGAAGGTGCTTGGACTTGGTCTTGTCTCGGTCTTAAAGGTACCTGAACTCAGTCTTGTCTCAGTCTCGAGGTCTGACACACGAAGAGCGATAAAATGAAGACAGATTTATAAAAAGATTGACATAAATGTGCCAAAATATCTGTAAAATACAAATAAATGTCGAAAATTACAAAAATGGTCTCTATTTGGTCTCAATGGGCCGAGGTCTCGATCTTGTCTCGGTCTCGGCCTTTAAAAGTCTTGGTCTTGTCTCGGTCTCGACCCTCCGGGTCACGGTCTTGTCTCCGTCTTGGCCTTTAAAAGTCTCAGTCTGGTCTCGGTCTCGGTCTGTGGTGCAGTGTTCACTAGTTGCCGTGGTAACATGATGCATATATTAGCAAAAAATGTCATAAAACTTTTTCGATAGTCTGAAAAAAAATACAAAACGCAAGCTCCAGCTGAAAAATGCAGATGTCTGTGTAAGAATGTTGTTTGTGAATGTTTCAGATGTGTTTTCATGTGTTTATTTATAATTATAGGCTTTAAAGATTGATTTGCTGAGAGAAATTGACTGGTATGTTTTCTTTTTTCTTTTTTTTTTTTCCCAGCTGATATTAAGCCAAAACGCTCTGCTGCTGTTTTTGCGATGATCTTAAATATTTTTTGGCAGTATTTGCAAATGTTATGTATGATAAATGTTATTTTCATTTTTTTTTTTTTTTATTTATTGTTTGTTTTTTTCTTTTTTCTTTGTTCTGTCATGTTTTCTAGGAAAGATTCGCTCAAACTGTTTTACGTTGCTTTGTTTCCTAAATTATTGTAGTTTATATTTTATTCTACCTATAAATCCCCTCAAAATTATGCTCAGGAATTTAAATTTAAACCTGCAATATAAAGTAATTTAAAATAATAAATTTCAAATGAATAACATAAAACTGCAAATGAATATGATCATTAAAAAAAAATTAAAAAAAATAAGGAAAGATGTAAGAATTATGCACGATCAAAAAAATAAAAAGGTGGGTAAGAAATTATAGGTAAAACTAAATATTTTGTGAAAGAAAAATATATTTATAATTAATATGTGGTACCACCATGACTAAAGTAATTTTATTAATTTATTTATTTTATTTATTTTGTAATTATTATTTATATTTGGTCACCTAAAGAACATTTTTGAAAAGATAATTACAAAGCGTTTGCAGAAGTGCGCATTTTGTCACAGTGTAAGAGCTGAAGATTCCACCATAGACGTGCATGTAGAACACCTCCAGCGCAATGTCAAAGCATCAATAGTTCGCTGGTTTCATTTCCTCTAAATTCTGGTCATTTACGTGAACATTTCTCTCGTGTTTTGTCGTTGCAGTTCGCCCATGAGGCAGCCGTCGTCCACAGCTAAAGTGTGCCTGGTGTGCGGGGACGAGGCGTCGGGATGTCACTACGGCGTCGTCACGTGTGGGAGCTGCAAAGTCTTCTTCAAACGAGCCGTGGAAGGTACGAACCGAACGCAGAAGGAGTTCAGATGCTAGAAATGTCGTCAAATAATACAGATTTATACGTTTTTTTGTTTAAAGGTCCAATATTACGCGAAATTGACTCTTGTGAGCTTTAAGACATGTCAGAATGTTGTTACCTCCTCAAAAATAGACCTGGATTTGTGTTTTGTTTCATTCCCACATTTATTATTAGTCTGTTTAAAGCTCAAAATGCTCAGTTCCACCTTGTGATGTCGTTAAGACTCAGGAAGATGAGTCCCAACATATTTTTAAAGGACACAGAAACCAAATTAAAGATTAGAGTTTTTTTTTTTTTTTCTTTCATTGTAGATGTTTTTAAACCCAAAAAGAAACCCTTAACCCGTGCCCCCAAAAAGAACCAAGAAAAACTAACAACAGAAAGGTGGACCTGATGAATCCGTGTGTCATTCCTTCATTTGTTTTTCAATATAAAACCAAAAATAAGAAAATGAATAAATAACAGTTTTCTTCATTATTTGTCTCCAAAACCAAAATGAAAAAAAAAAACAGATAATGATTTGTTTTTTTAGTTTTTGATTTTGTGTTCAAATGAAGAATGGAAAAAATGGCCGTTTCCCATTTACGTGACTGCGATGCCGGACTTTTGCACCGCATACGGACTGAACCAGGACTGATCTGGGTCCGGGACCAGACCAGGACCAGAGCGGGACCAGAGCGGTCCGCTTACTGTTTACAAGGAATTTATTTTTTATATTTCATACATTTGTTGGTTATTTGAGAATATTTTGTTTAACTTATTAGTATTACCAAGCAGCACCTTGTGTTTATTTTACTGTATTCTCTGCACTATTGAGCGCCCATCTAAAAACGACTGCACGCTCCACAATCCAGAGCGCCCTGTACACAAATCCACTCGGGCGTCCCAGCACGACTTCAGTAAACTACAAAGCCGCACCACCAAGCAGAACACGCAAACACACACGGAGCAGACAGCGACCGAGCGGCGAAAAACACCCGCAGACACACTCATCACTCCACGCCGACGAGGAACGGAACGGAAGGAACGAACCGAAAAAGCGAGCGCGACGTGCCGCTTCTAGACACGACTGAACAACTGAGTCACTGCGAACACGCCGACAATCCGTTGGTCCCAGACAGCACCCTCCCTACACGCCACAACTGAACAAAGCCCAGAGTCACCGTGAACGAACAAACAAACAAAACCACTCACCCATCACACTGTTGTGTTTCCTTTAAAGTCCCACGTGGTTTATTTGTGAAAAAAGTTAGAAAATAGACCATTTAATGACAGTGCGTCTTATAATCCAGAGCGACTAATAGTGCGGAAAATACGGTATTTTCCCGTTTGTATAATGTTAAAACAAATTGTTGGTTTAATAAGAACACAAATAAACAACAAGCAAATGGTTTTACATTTTGTTCCCGTACTGTACAGAAAATGAACCGAACTGTGACCTCAAAACCGACGTACGTACGGAACCGTGATTTTTGTTTACCGTTACACCCCTACTATTTGCACATGACATCACAAGGTGGAACAGAGTGTTTTCAGTTTGATAGAAGAACTCAGCCTAAATATGCAGGATTTGTGTGTTAAACATGCGAATGAAACGAAACAAGACCCAACTCCAGGTAAAATAGCGTAATATGGGCCCTTTAAAGTTGGACTAAACGCCTAAACTCAAGTAAATGTGAGTGAATCCAACCCCCCTCTGCTGGTTTGTACATTTATTTGAGTTTCCAAAGTAACACAAACTAGTCTTGGAGCAGAATTATCCCACAGCTGCTGTTTGACACATGTGTCCAGCCATATGCCGCACTTCTACGCACACTTTTATAATGTTTTTCTTACAGATGTTCAACCAAACGCAAGTGAGTAAATAATCATGGAGTTTTACTTTGAGAGCAGCTGCAGGAAATGAGACAAACGTACAAATGTGTGAGTTATTATTTGCGCCGTGAAATACACATCGCGGAGAAACTGTACTCTTGTATCTTCCGGCAGTGCGAGTCGTGCTCCTTTTACAATTTTCTCCGCATTCTGGGTCGGGATGTGGATTCTCGAGGTCCGGGCCGGGCGGTGTAATTCCCTCGCGGTTGCGGAAACGTGCCCTTTTCGATTCCAGTTGCTGCGATTTCTGGAATTCCTTGACACATCGTCGTCCGTGACTTGAGCGTAATAGGCCACTGAGGCTCGTTTGGTCTTTCGATAAGTTATGTTATTTGGTTATTAACTTCTTTTTTCAGACCATGAGTTTGTTTTCGTAGCTGACAGTTTCGACTGATCGCTGCGGTCTTCCTCAGAGTCTCGTGATGTTGCTGTGACGTGTCCCTCAGCTGATTTATAAAAGTTTAAATTCTTATTGCCTTTAATCTGATAATGAATGACATATTTTATCTTTACACAGGATTCCCACTCTTTTTCACTGACTTTTTCATGACCTCAAGTTCATTTTCCATGACTTTACGGCACCTACATGTGTAGAATTGATCAGACTTTTAGGGTTAAATATGAAATGTTAACTCTTTCCACTCACCTTATGTGAAACGTTCTGGGATTAAACCCATAACTGATGTTTTCTCTAAAGCTCTTCATTCAAAATCTGGAGGGACTGTGACAATGTTTCCTACCTTGTTACTATATAAAAATATTGTTTTACAACACCGTTCTTTAACTTTTGAAAAATATTTCAACACATGTTGGGCCTGAAAAGAGGTTTTTTGTTTCACAGTTGCATTGACTAGTTAAAGCTGACTACGGATTTCACCTAATTTTTTGGAACAGTAATCAGAACAGTCTAATGAAAACTTCACAGAACGCTGTAGTTGCGTGAAAGAAATACTAAAATTCCGTGACTTTTCCAAAACTTTCATTGAATTTATAAAATTCTATGACTTGTCCAGGCCTAGAAAATTACATGTTCAAGTTCCATGACTTTTCCAGGATTTCCATGACCGTGTGAACCCTGTTTAAAGATCGTACCATGAAGACGTGTTGTGAATTTAAATATTACAGAAGTCTAGTTTTAGTTTTAGGGCCTGTTTACACAAGAACTCTTGCCTTTTGTTCAGACGGTGACGACGTTTTTGGGGCTTAAAAATGCAAAAATCTGAAACCAAACTCCAGAGTGGAAAAGTTAAATACGCTATGATGTTGCTGTGACGTGCCCCTCAGCTGATTTATAAAAGTTTAAATTCTTATTGCCTTTAATCTGATAATGAATGACATACTTTTGTCTTACGCCTGTTTTTCGAGGTATTTTTCAGCTATAAAACCACCTGTAATTTGATAAATGAAAGGTAGAGCTGTTTAATTAATGTCATACTGTGAACCGAACCGAACCCTGAACCAAAAAGTTACACAATGCAGCTTTAAACAACACTGAAAACTCTTTGTATTTGCTCCAGCTCTTGTGTAACAGACACAGAAACAGATAGACTGAGCTTTTCCACTGCGACGCTGCAGCCCAGAGCCGTGGCCTTACTCAAAAAAAAAAACAATAAAAGATCAACGTAAACATTCCCCGAGCCGGCACTGACCCAGAACCACGGCAACCATCGGCCAATCAGATCAGGGTTTAATACGACGGCGGTGCACTGAACGGGCGTTGCCATTGGCGTTGGCCGCGTGATCGACGGTGATGCGTTTAAGGGCTTGGCGCAGTTTGAAGTTCTATATTTTTACTGCAGCTCGTGCCCGGTTAGAATTCATATAAACTATTATTGGGCTGTAAAGTGCGTAATGTAATTCAACCCAAAGCTTATTATATTTTATACGGTATTGTGAGGCCAAGTTCATTGTATCCTCAGCGTGACCTCGTGTCATAACGTGTCCGAACTACTGTCATTTTTCCTCCAAATGTGATTTTTCTTTACTTTTACCTTCATTTAAATGTGTATTATGTAACTTTTTGCTTGTTTCTATGTAAATGTCATTGCTCGGCCTGGAATGTTCCGCAGTGTGACATTAAACAGCTCTACTTTTTTAACGTTTATTCAATTACAAGTGGTTTTACAGCTCAAAAATACCTCGAAAAACAACATTCTGACTTGGAGCGGGGTCGCCTCTCCACAGATCTGACCTGTAACTTGGTCTGGTTTGGGCTCCGTGACGATCGAAAGGTTCAAAACTAGGGCTGGGTATCGTTTAGACGTTGCCGATACGATACGTACCTCGATACAGCGCACTTTCGATTCGATATGATGTATTTCAAATCGATTTGATACGGTTCAGTAAAAAATAAAATCTAAAATCGTGGCTGTGACGCTAAAAGTCTTTGTTAAACCACTTCTTGTGCAAAGTTCATATGAAACACAAACATTTTAATCATGAAAACGGTGAAAATGTCAAACGTGTCTCATAAACGAGTTTCTTTTCCAAAACTGTAGCGCTGGAACAAAATAATTTATTAAAATATACGAGCGATATATCGATGCACGAGCCCACGATACTGTATCATCACATTAAACGATACGATATGTTGATATTTCAATATTTCTGCACACTCTACTACTGCATTGATGAGATTCTTTCCATCTTTGTACAACTCTTAAAAACTTGTTCGTTTTGTCGTTTTTTAAGCAGCTTTTCTGTATTTTACCTAAACAAATGACAATGTTTGTCTCTCTTTACTGTTGGCAGGGATTAAATTGGTGAAAAATATGGGTCAAATCAGTGGTTTTGGTTAAATCTTCTGGGACAGGGGACACAGAGCTCAAAACTGGGACTGTCCCGGGTAAATAAGGATGTCTGGAACTAAAAAATTACTACTACTACTACGTCTTGTGCAAAGTTAATATGAAACCGGCCCATTTTACTCATCAAAACAGTGAAAATGTCAAATGTGTCTCATAAACGAGTTTCCTTTCACTAAACAAGCAACGAAACTGTAGATCTGTAACAAAATACTTAAGTATAATAAACCAAAAAATACTCGACACAGCAGCCCACGATATCGATACTGTATCATCACATTAAACGATACGATATATCGA